AAATTTTAAATTTAAATTACATGATATAAAGAAAATAAAAAATAAAAAATAATCATCCAATTATGCAATAGAGATATAAAAATAAATTTTAATATTGAAAATTTTATTTCTTTTATTAATAATTAAATAATTAGATTGTACTTTATTTATTTTATTTTATTTATTAAAAATATTTTAATATGAGTAATGATCTGTCGGACGATTTTGAGAGACGACAAATGAAGCAATCCCAATAATATCAATTTGATTATACTTTCACTTGTCGTCTTTCAAAATCGTTCAATAAATTCGTTCCACATATCATTACTCTTTTAATAGGTTGATGATCTTAATTGCATTTGTAAAGTGTAAACAGGTAAGCATCGATATCCAACATCTACTTAGTATTTGTCAGAAATCTTCTTTCTTTGCTGCTTGATATTTATCAGACATTAATAGAGATTCCATTACCTATTTTCAAAAAAATTGAATAGAGGGGAACATATGGTACTGCTCCGTATTACTCCATATATATAATTTTTTTTATTTTTTATTTTTTTAAATAAAAGTAATGATTAAGAAATTAATATGAGTTAGCTGTTAACAATTGATTTTTAGATCAAATGAACATTTCATTTTTTCAAATGAGGCGCGCGGCCATCAGATTGCTTTTTGGTAAAGTTCACGACGGTGATAGAGTTCGAAACTCCAACCACATCACCTAAACACTTAAAAGTTTAAAATCGAATCATTGGATCTAAACGTCTGGTTCATATAATTTTTTTTTTTTTGATTGACAGTCTGAAAATGGTTTTACTAAGAAATATCTTTTATGTAGGATAGAGAACAAGAATATTTTTATTTTTTTAAATAACTATATTTCTAAATTTTAAATTTGTGTTAAATTAATTATTTAATTATAAATTGTTTTTGTTTTCTTAAGAATATTGTAAATAAAAGATAAATATTACCTTTAAATCTTTAATTTTTTTTTAAATATTTATTTTTTAAAATAATAATTCTTTCAAATATATTAATGACTATTTTTTAAAACTAAATTGAATAGAGCAAAATATATATTATATTGTTTTGTCCTAAACTCTCAATGTTCAAAAATTTATATTAAATTTAAATTAATTTAAAGTTAAATCACTTCAAATTTTATAAAAAAAAAATTTTAACATTTATTTTTATATTTATAAAATTCAAATTTAAAATTTTATTTTGAAAAAAATCAATTTCTTTTACATTATAAAATCAG